GATCAAACCAATGAATCTGATGAACCCTATCTTTCCACGATTCAACTTCAGTGACTTATAAACTTAAAGTTGTACATCAACTTGGGGCTTTCACCATCTGAGTTGACATCTGCTGTTTTCAAATGTACAATAACCCAGACATGGAGTTAGGGTGACAAATTCGCTTGATCGCACCATGTATAAAGAATTTTCTCGGTGCCGCTCTGACCAATAGGGTTGCCCAAATGCCTGCAGGCTTTATATTTGAGAATGCGTATAACGTGCCGGCATGAGTGGTGCTACGCCAGTGACACCACGGCCTCATTGTAATGTCTGACTATAAACTATAACACATATTATACACTTGCATGAATCCCGGTCATCTGATTGGTGGATCCTTGATCACATGGCATTGAATTATTTGTACCAACACACAGCACGTGGGACACATGCACGACGTACATGCTGAGTGCAAAAGATTTGTAAGTTGGGAGGGGGGCCAGGAGAGAGGGGCGGAGAATGGGTAGAAGAAGGGGAGGGGATACTTGGCAGTCATCTGACTCTTGGGGGTGCTGTGCAAGGTGGATGGACCTGGAAACTTTCAGTGGTGAGTGGCATTGATCAAGAGGCTTCATTTGTTGACGTTACGCAATCATCCTTGTGGGAACATGGATTTTTATCAACAGAAACAATGGGGGTGCATCATATCCCCTTAACCCCCTCCCCTCCAAGTTTGTGGTTGATTCCATGACAGGCCCCTGCAAGTCCGTCATAAGTCCTCCAGTCTTAAGCGGAGTCGCAAGCTATTCAAATGAACTACGACCCTTATTCATCCTTCACCCTGGTACTTATGACTAGTCTAGTGACTGGACTTGTTAAGAGGCATTAAATGGACATTAATCACAAAGCTCCCGTCCAACCAACATATACTCCGGACTGGAGCCTTTGACATTGCCTTGAGTAAGCTTACATCTCATTGTGCTCCTCAGCGACTTCTTCGTTCTTCCACATCCGGAGCTTGTCATCGGTGACATGCTGTTGCCAGGCTTGGAACACCTTCCCCTTGAGAGAGTAAACGTAGTGCCTCCTTGCTTTCTGAAGCTGAATGGACTGCAGGTGGCCATACTGAATGAATAGATTTCAAAGCAAAGATTTGTTAGTTATGTGAATAATGAAACGTGTATTAAAATGTAAACCATGGGCAACATAACTTGCAGATTTAAAAGGACAAAAATGAGAAACTGATTGTCTTAGTGGTGATAGGCCTGCAGATGGAGATAATTGTTGAGGAAAGGACTGTAGGAGACAAAATAAACTGATTGATCGAATTTAAGTCACTACTTAAAACTCACCTGTTTCATTAATTGCTTTATTTCATAATATTACTGTGAAGCGCATCGAGATGTGCTATGTGATGCGCTATATAAGAAATGTGTTATTATTATCGGGAGAATGACTGCGTCGATCCCGAGAAAATCACAAGCCACTGGCAAGTTATTCACTCTGAAGTCAAGGTACAGTCGACCCTCATCAATAAGGTTCCTGTCATAACAAAGTAATTTGCCATGTCTAAGGGACTTCTTATTAACGAGTTTCGAAGTTTTTTGTCAATGTCAACCTTGGGTCACCTTAACACATGAGATCCAACTAGTATGTTGACTTTTGATTGACTTGTCATTCACAAGGTGGTATATCTTCCATTACTCATAAAAGTGACAGATATGCTGATAGCAACGACAATGACAAGTGACCAATGACACAGTGACACAAGTGATAATGATGGCATACTCACCCTCTTCAAGGACTGAAAAGCCCTTCTCACCAGGGTGACCTCATACTGCCTCTCTGCCATAGCAACCTTCTCCTCCATAACTTCTGCTGCATATTGTTTCCATGGCAACAGGCACTTCCTCAACAGTACGTTGCTATAGTGATCTTCAGAAACCTATAATTTGTTAAATCATCCGCGAAGAAAAAACTATGATTTTAAGGAAAAGTTCAGGAGCGGGCTGCAGCTAAAATTATGCCTTTAACAGAATTTCTGAAAAAGGTTCAGAACGTATAATTCTTTTATTAGAAAAGTAGCATTTCACGAGTGAAGGCAAAATTCTGAATATTACTAGAAAGTTCTTTGAGAGTTTGTCAATTTTTTAATATGTGCTACTTCGATGCTACGTCACTATCATCACAACAGTCTGGCTTCCAACCTACCTGCATGTTCTGTCTGGCCATGTTCACTAGCCTCCTCCATGGGTCCAGACCTTTGTGTCTCAGCAAGGTTTGTCGGTAGTGTTCGTCCGCATGGCTGTTCTGCCGTTGCATGTGCTCCAGACGTTCTTGTTTCTCTAATTCTCTCTGGCAGGCAGAAAACAGAAAAACAGTGACTTAAAAGAGGCGGCCCTTGGCAACGATAACTGTTCCTATTTCTTCCTTCGTACAGAGAGAGCCTGCTGTTGGTGTGTTTGTGAAATCCCAAATAGGGTTGTTTGGCTTTCAAACAATCAAAAACCATGAAGGACGTGCTGAATGCACGACAGGTATACAGGAATGGGCGACTTGTTATTTGCTGATTTTCACATGAAATGAAATGGTTTTTGCTCTTTTGCCTTTCAATCCACATTTCAGCAATTCTGAAGCTCTGCCGCTCATGACCGCGGCGTGCCCGTGTTGATTGCCTTGGGGCCACCCTAGATCCTTCAAGGAACTGGTGACCTTTCTCTATTTCCTCCAATGCATTAGCAAAGCTGCTGATCGGTCCAATTTGTGTTTTCTGAAAATGCTCCCTAGTGTGTCATTTGATGAAATCCTGGCACTGGGGCCGAGGTTCGTGTTTGATTTAAGCCAAGATTTAAGAAGAGTTCTTCATTCAGACCCCCCCCAAAAAAAACAAAAACCATCCCCACTCTAACAAATGACATTCCCAAACTATCTAACCACTCCTTTACTCTTAAGCCATATTTATAGACTAATAAACTAACAACAATTTATTCATTTATAAAGCGCAATTTTCAAATGGATATGTTCAAATGCGCTGTACAATGCAGACATTAAGCGTGGAACAATGAATACATTTAAACATGGTTGAGCCAATGGCATACAAGGGGGCCTCGGGCAGCCGCCAAACGACCCACATTCACCAACATCAGTAAAGGGGAGACAGTAAGAAGCAGTGACAGTTTTAGAGGTAGGAGGAAAACCCCAGAGGAATATTCTGAGTAAAACCCACGGAGTCAGGTTGGGACTAAAAACCCAATCCACATGTGGACTGGGCCGGGATTCGAACCCGGGACCACAGAGGTGGAAGGCGAGGAAAGAACTACCTTGCCAACCCGACTCCCCACAGAGACTACACAGGTCCAAAGTGTGACGTCATTTGAACTGGGAAGGGTAGTGGGAACAAATGGAATAGGCATGTGTATTTGTTCATTAACTGGAAAAACGTACTAATGTCTTTCACACCGTATGTGTGATGCATTCACTTCCGTATTCTATAATCCAACACAGGTCCTTGGACTCTATCTCACCTGCTTGGCAAGTCGTTTCTCTTCTCGTCTCTTCTCCATCTTGGCTCGCTTCTCGTCTTCCTCCTCCTGCCTCTGTCGTTCCTCCTTAGCTTTGATCTCTGCCTACAATCGCAGCAAGAAAACACAGACCCTCTGATGAGCGCTTGCATGAATCCACGAGAGGGTAGTAGGGGGGTCAAAACAGTTTACCAGTATGACAAGATTGTTAAACGTGTCGCTTGGCGTGATAACAAAAGCTTATTTCACTTGCGAAAACTAGGCTCTGTTTGATTGAAAACGTTTGGTGACTGCGATGAGTGAATAAGCGGAAATGTTTACAGAGGGAAGCAAGTTATGTGTTAAGCTGATATCAACGGGGATCCAGCTACAAGCAGAGGGTAATGCACTGACGTTTGGCTGGTGGCTAATTTCTGCTCGCCAATTTTTCTGAGTTAAGCAGGTTTTTGTGTCTAGACGCTTCATATTGGAATCTTAAACTGTGTTAAAATGGGAAAAAAATTAGATACAGTCCAGGCTGTCTAAAAAAGTTGTGATAAACATACCAGATTGCTGTTAAAAGCATAACATTTGACAAACTTGCTCATTTATCATATTCCAAACTATTAAAATTTAATCCCAAAAGAGTCCCTTTTTCCAGATAGTTTGCCCCCAAGAACATGGCTGTCCCGCTATTCAAACTTTTGGCCGACCTGTTGCAGAAAAATGGACATTTTATGAGAACAGCATGTCCAATTTTCATAAATCTGGTGGCAAAATGATAGCAAACAGCGAAGAGAGCAATGAAAATAAAATTTATCAAACGGTTACAGAGAACAGAAACTTGATATTTGGTGGATTGGCCATCTCTGGGGTTCTTCTCTATTTAATTTGGAAAAACAAGTTGAAAGCCGAAACGAACAAGAACCAATTAGTTCAACCAAAAAGCGAGCGAAACAAAGCAAACTCGAGCCAAGAAAATAAAATTGAAGAACAGATTTTAGACATGGAATAAATTTAAGATTCCTTATTATTAAATATGAGTAACGCTAAATCATAGCAAGACATCGGGAAAAAAACTCCTGGAGGTGAAAAAAAACCCACTGTGACAATATGAGAGAGAATGTCTAGGGCTCCTTTATTTAATTTTCCAAAATAAATCTATTCAAGTTATCAGTAAGAAATAACGGTACCAGTTTTTCCTGTTCTCTCTTACGCTGACGCTCCTCGCGCTCTGCTTTCATCTTCAGCCGAGTCGCTTCTCTCTCCTTCATGCCTGTCAACGGAATCAAAAACACGAGGGTGACAGACATATTTAATTTCGGAATGAAGGGCTGCGTACACGTAGCATCATTTAACTCCAATATTGCCGTGGTTTTACAGCTTTCGGCTGTGCTGGAGGTGGAGAGGGCGCTGTGAAGCCTCCTCGTGAAAGCAGTCACCCCAATCAAAGTCAGTCAGGTTTGAAGGGAAGCACTCGCTCACTGACAAAGATGAGTCGGGCTAGTGGGGGCGATTTTCAACTTGGTGCACGGTGCAATCTGGAAGACGTGCATTCCGACAGAAATGTGTCGTGCTTGCTCAGCGCATCCCGTGCCAACGCACATGAACGTGTGTGCATGTGAAAACTCTCCCAACAAAAGCAGCGTCCTGTCTATGTACCTGTAAAAAAATGCCATCTGTGGTTCCTCTGGCAAGCGGAAAACTGTCTTGGCTTCCCCCAGACAGATCTTTCTTTAAAATAACTTTTTTATTGTATTTATTAATAAATTTCTTTATTGGTAAACATGTATTTTAAAATGCTTTTGAGTAAATCTGGAAATTCTAATCCAGTGAGCAAAACAGTCTTGTTGTTTTATGGTCATCCAAAGGTCAAGCAAACTTTTAATAAATCTCTACATCCGACAACCATGTGATAACAACAGGAGGGTACAGGGTTGGAATCCTCACCACACCATCAGAGCAAACCATCCTACCTTTGAGTAGAGGCGGCCTGGCCGGTTGTTTATTCTTACTGCTGGTGCTAGTTGTACTAGCATCGCTCTGATCTGAGCGTGCAGTGGACGGCGCTGTGCCAACGCTAGGCTGTGATCTGCAACACAAGAATACACATGAGGTACAGCAACTTGATGACCAATAACTTGGTGCTGAGGACAGAGTGAAGGGACAGCTCAACCTCGCAGGCAAGAGGATCCAAGACACTTTAAGTACAGGTACGGTTTTCATCAAAGATCATATAGCGCCGAAGGCGCAAGATGGATAACTCTGCCCAAAAGGCGTAATTACCACGGGCGCCATTTGAGCAAGCCATACGCCTGAGCGGTTTACGGTAATGCTTGGGCACAGGCTCACCAGGTGCACCTGCCTGCCGCGGCACCTGCGCCTGTGCAGTAATGTGCATTGCACAGGCGTATCGCTTGCTCAAATGGCGCCTATGCAATTACAACGTTTTACGCGTATTCGCGGTGAAGTTCTCCATCTTGCGCCGCTATATGTAATGCCCAGAGGTCGAAAGAGAGGAGCTGTCAGGTGGCAGTGTGACTTGGAACAATATCACCTGCAACTGGCTACAAGGTTATCGTGTTAGAAATAAACTTGAAAGTGTCCCAAAAATATAAATTAAGAAATCAGAAATTTAAATAAACAGTTGGGGGGGAGGGAGAAAAGGTAGCAGATAGAGAAAAGATTTTTTGAGATGATTTTTGCTTGACCTGAAGTAGTCTAAGAATTTACCTTCCACTATCTGGTTGCCCTTCAGGAAGTCCACTTGATTCCACGGCAATGTTGCTTGCTGCCGTCCCTCCTCCCAGCTGCATCCGTAGCAGCTGTTGCCGCTGCGCTGTCTGCAGGTCCTGGATCAGCCGTTGCTGCTCGCGTAGTTGCTGCTGCTGCTCATGCAGAATGCGCTGCTGCGCGGCGTAGCGGTGCTCAAATGAGTTGGTCTTGTAGCTGACGTTCTTTTTGGGTGTCATGCCTGGGACACTGGCTTTTGTGTTAACTGTAGTCAGAGAAGCACACAATAGCGTAACATTTGTAATGTGCACATTTTCTGACAACACCCCAAACTGTTGGTCAATCAATATGTTGTTAGTAAAAGGAAAACTTCAGATGAGCGGGAAAAGGTGACCATAAGATGTTTTTCGATTAAATGCAGAAGTGCATGACATTTCCTTTCTTTGTAAGAGCTAGTGGTAAGTAATTTCAAAGACCGGTTGAAAAATTTATTTAGTGATTGATTTATTTCTGTTTTTTGGCCAGGATAGCCAGATTCATGATAATTCTCATGGTCTTCCCCGGGATCCTGGAGTGAAGATGAACAATTAAAGCGCAAATTAAAAAAATAGGATTAGCCTTGTTAAAAAACTTGCTTTAGCAACTATCAGAGCAACAAACACTGATCACTTTCGCCAAGAGGTATAACAAATTTTCCCAAAACCTCAACATTGAAAATAATGTCCTTTTCCAGCTATTTAAAAGGGGTGTGAAAGGCCACTCAAAAAAAAACAGCTGAAAACAGCTGGCAAAAAGTTGAAATGTAAAAAGTTGCCATACTTTTGTACAGACCAGGTGTACAAAAAGACTGATATTCAGGGTCAACATCTAAACAAAAACAGCTGACATCAGCTAAAAAGCTGAATTCTCACACCCC